GCAAAAGTGCTTCAAACTCATCATTTGGATCAACAGCAAAAAACATATGTGAGGAAGGCTAAACTTGATGGACACGTGTCTCTTTTCAGCCTATGGAACTATGTAACTATTTGTAATTATTGTTTGGTGTCACCACAATCTTTTTGGTGTAGCTATATATGCAGGGCCGGCCCAAGACATTCTGACGCCTGGATCCAAGTATGAAATGCTTTCCCACCCCATCCCTCACCCCTAAAACCCCCCCACAAAAGCATATGCTTCGGCAATGGTAGTGTCTCTATGTGAGTGTGCTGGGGATGACATGTGTGTATGTGTGTGCTCTGGGCATGTAGTGTGTCTGTGTGTGTGCTGGGGATGATGTGTGTGCGTGCTGGGGATGTAGCTTGTGTCTGTGTGTGCACTGCAGCCAATACACTTACCTATACACTGTGTCTGTGTATATGCATGTGTGTCAGTGTTTGTATCTGTGTGTCTGTATCTGTATGTGTGTCAGTGATTGTATCTATTTGTCTATGTATCTGCATGTGTGGCAGTGTTTGTGTGTCTGTATATCTGTATGTGTATCAGTGTGTCTGTGCAACTGTATGTGTGTCAGTATATGTATCAAAAACGGACACACGTGCAGATACTGACAAACATACAGATGTATAGACACACTGATACGCCTGCTGATACACATACACACAGACACATACAGACACACACACTGCCACACATGCAAATACACAGACATACAGATACACATTACACACATACAGTATACACAAACTACACACACACACACAATTCACATACATAAACACACATACAAACACACAGATACCCACACTACATACAGAACACACACTACACAGATACAGATACACACACTATACAAACACAGCTACACACACATTACACTCATACAAACAGATACACACATACACACACGTACAAACACACACACAGATACACACACTACACATACACACTTGCAAACACACAGATACCCACACAAAAACACACAGATACCCACACTACATACAGATATACACACATTACACACATACAAACAGATTCACACACACACATTAAAATAATTAAGCCACCCAGCAGGTTCTTACCTTCTGCTGGCTGTGGCTGGTGGGAGTTGGGGGCCTGCTCTCCCTATCCAGCCCCATCCTCGCGGCTTCCTCCTCCTCCCCCTCCTGTGCGGCTGTGTGAGTGAGCTGGGAGGAAGTGATACGCTGTCACTTCCTCCCAGCTCTCTGTGCACGATAGAAGGGTCTCAGTCGCGCTGTTAAAGTGCCACAGCGCACGACTGGGCCCCTCATTGCATATGTCCACTGCATATGCCCTAAGGGCATGGGCCATCCGATGGACCCTCACACAGGTTCCCAACTCGTTCGGTGGGAAATCTTGTTTTAGATTATGACAGGAGCGGCAAAATGCTGCCCCTGTCAGAGTGCCACCTGGAGCCATGGCTCCAGAACGGTCTGTTGATGGGCTGGCCCTGTATATATGTTCTCAGAGAAACTTAAACTTCCAAACAAGACCAGACCCATGCTGATGAGACCCACAAGGTCAAACTGCAGTCTATGGCTGGTTTCTGGTCACTGGTCCTTGTGGATCATAGCCCATGCGGTTTAAAAAAAAAAAAAATATTTAAAACATTATGCTTATCTGTGCTTTATCACCATATTGTACTATATGCTAGGTTCATAGCTCAGTGTGTGATAAAATGGCAGGCGTTATTCCTTTATTTATTAAACAAGCTATTGTGACAAATTCAATTTTTTTTTCTAAAATTTGGAATTCCATTGTCACATCTCTACAATCTTACAAAGTTCATGTTTAGAGAATTAACTTCTAAATGTATAATTCCTGAAACTGAAACTTTTATTACATGAATCTGCCTTATTTCTGCTTCACAGGTTCTCCGTATTGGACTAATGGGATACAATTCAACCAAAACCAACGTGGATCGCGTTCTCGACGCTCTCCGTGATGCCCTGAAACACTGTCCTAGAAGCAAAATGTGAAAGTGTTATACAATGCTGTCAAAGGAACCAATTTATCTATTCTAGCTACCAGCTTACAGCCTTTGTATCCTGTTTCTCCATTCCATACCCAGTAATTGCAGAACGTTATTATTTAGAAATCAGGAATAAATGAACTGTGACCACACGTACAAAATATCCGTAGTAGAATTATGTCCTATATTGTAGCGTTATCCCAATGAGGAAACAGGAATACACTCCAGGGCAGTGTAATAGGGAGAGTAATGATCCGTGCCTTGGATTTAACTCATCACAACAGTGTTGCATTAAATGCCTCTTAAATATTGTCACTGTTAATTGGAGGGATTCATTTGGCACTCATCTACGTTCTAACACTAGGAGGGTTATTCGCTAATTAGTTCATTTAAAGTGAATTTCAAAGTTAAGGCTAAAATAGCCAAACTGGAAAGATTCTCCAAGTCAGCTATGCTTCCAATTCAGCTTCTCTGGCCTTAATTCTGAATTTCACTTTCAATTCTCATTTTAGGAAATTACCTGATGGTTTACTGCTAGATACACACACACACATATATCTACATACAGTACATGCATAATATGCAATAATAATTGATCAGATAAATTTAAAGCCCTCAAGTGAGGTATCACATTTTTCTTATTATGTTTCTATTATCACAGTTTCTTTAAATATTTCCTTTTCAAATAGATCCAAACCATTTTAGTTGATAAAATATAAGATAGCGTGAATACTATGCATATTTTCGACTATGAACAATGAATGTCTTATATGTGCCTTAGATTGCTAATAAAATTGTTCCACTGAATGAGGTCAGAGAAAATATTTCATATTACGACAAATAGTAAGAGGTGACTGTTACAGCCTTGTGGTTTCAGCGTTGTGACCTGGCTGCTGTTGTGACTTGATTGGAGAAAATATTACTGGTAAAATAGTTTTAATTGAAAAAAATGGTTTTGCACTCACATGTAATCAATTCATGTTTGCTTACAGTACATCAATAACAGTTCTTATTAGTTTTTAGCTTTTAGGTGCCTCCCAACAGGCATCAAGCCAATAAAATATTTCATCCACTCTTCCATATTGATATAACAGAAATCCTAGGTTCAGTGTAATGCTGAGCAGTGGATAACAGAGAGTGGTGTATCGGCCGAAAATATTTCATCCATAGACAGGGCCCGATTAACACAGGGGCTGAAAGAGTTGCAGCTCCATGCCCATGGAATAGGCCCATTGATTGTCTCCCAGCCAATGTCCCTGGTATCTAAGAGTACCCATGTCTCCCAGTGTCTCAGTGTCCCTATGTCTTCCATTGTCCACATGTCTCCCAGTGTCCCCAAGTGTCTCAGTGTCCCCAAGTGTCTCAAAGTCCCCATGTCTCTCAGTGTCCCCTAATGACATGGGGACACTAGGAGATATGGGGACACCTACCCTACGGGACACTGGGCGACATGGGGCCACTGGGAGACATGGGGCACTAAGACACTGTGATACATAAGGACACTGTGATACATAGTCTCAGTGTCCCCATGTCTCACAGTGTCCCCTAGTGACGTGGGGACACAGACACTAGGGGACACTGGGTGACATGGGGACACTGGGAGACACAGGGACACAGAGAGACACTGGGAGCAATCCATCTATACAGCATATATTAAACTGTAAGTAGTTTTTTGGTGATTTTACAGATTTTTCGCTAATGTCACACGTTGTGATTTGTATGTGATGTCATGCATACCTAATTAGTTATGAAAATTAGTAAGGCCTGTGTTTTTTCCAAGAAAGGTGGCAACCCTAACTACTTTTCACATACTCTTGCTTAAGTATGGAAACTTAAGAGGGATATATGGAAACAAAACTTGTGTGGTCTAGTTGAAATGAAATGAGTTAAGGTAATGCTGACTTTGGTCTCTCTAACACTGTGGCATGTTCCCTTTCTTCTACACTCACTACATCCACCTTTTCTCTGTCTCAGACTGTATACCAGTAGTTTCTGCCTGCTAGTAAGAAGATAAGGAGATAAGTAGATGCCAGTGCTAGGGGACAGCCCTTAGAAAGCATGGAGCAAGCGCATCATTAGACGCATTTATGCCAAGTTTAGGATGCTGTGGGCCAGCATGTATGATCGGCAGGCAGCCTGACATAGTTACATAGTTACATAGCTGAAAAGAGACTTGCGTCCATCAAGTTCAGCCTACCTCGCATTTGTTTTTTGCTGTTGATCCAAAAGAAGGCAAAAAAAAACAGTTTGAAGCACAATTTTGCAACAAGCTAGGAAAAAAATTCCTTCTTGACCCCAGAATGGCAGTCAGATTTATCCTTAGACATGCATTCATGCCAGGCTAGCCTTCCAATTCTTTGGGCAGACATGCCTCCTTTTTGGGCATGTTTGTCCCTTTCTGGTTACATGATCCGCATCAGTGGTCCACCCTTTTACACCGCCCATTGACTTCCTGCTTCACTGGACACTGCTGTTAGGGTGTATGGATTTACTTGAAAGATGAAAGAATTAATTAGAGAGATTAGCATATTTTAAGAGAATCTGAGTTTTCTTATAGCTGCATCCTATGTGTTTCCCTCCGGCAACATCTCCACCAGATACATAACGCTTGAGAGGTATGACTGTTATAGTGTTTTTGGTCGATAAGATTCTGTACTTGGGCCCCTCAGAATTGCCAGCACCAGGCCCACTGGGCTCTTAATCTGGCCTTGTCCACAGACTGCTGAAACAGCAATATTCTGCAACATCCACTGGCATGCTAGAAATATACGAGTGCACATAATTTGGGGGTTACAAGGCTGCTTGTAGCTTTGATCCAACTCTTTTCAGATATTATCTTAATAGAGGGGAAAGAAATCTTCACAAGAATATATAATTTATGACGGGCAACTTTAAGGTGCACTATCCATACCTCATATGAACACTGTGCCTAATTAGACAGCATACATTAACCATACATTACAATAGACCAGGCATAGGCAACCTTCGGCACCCCAGATGTTTTGGACTACACCTCCCATGACGCTTTGCCAGCATTATGGGTGATGTAGTCCACACATCTGGAGTGCCGAAGGTTGCCTACCCCATGCAATAGACAAACTCCTAGCAAATATATAGAAGGAATTTTGTATTTTATATAGTTTGACTTTTCCTGTATCGGCATAGCAGTAATAACTGCATCTAAAGGTGTCAAGTTTAGCCATCATTGATACAGGGGAAATATACCTATATTAAAGATTTAATAGAGAAAGGAATCAAGCACAGTCCCACTCTCAATAAGGTTATTCATTATTTATGGTGTCAGATAAATGAGTTATGTTTCGGCCACAAGGTCTTTATCCAGGCACTCCAGTAGGACCTGGACCCTCATAATCAGGTATTTATTCACATTTAAAGACAAACATGGTTTCATTTCTCCTCTTATCTGTAGGCTTTCTCTATGCTGACTGCCCCGGTGCAAAGGATTTAACAATAATTGACAAGGAGCCAATATAGAGAAGCTCCATTAAAAGGAAAAAGAAGTGTGTATTTCTAGATCAAATTTTAGTTTTCACATCTCACAAATATGTATTTAATAAATATAAGTATATTGTTACTGAATATAAGTAAACAGAATCCTGAGAAATGACAGCTCATCTTTAAGCTTAACAAGCTCAATTTTGTACATTTCTGCCCCAAATAAAAAATGCTTTCATATGAAGCAGCCATATGAGATTGCTGGCATTGCTATGAGAATTGTCAGTAATGCATTTTATTTCAGAGAGAAAATGACATTTTACAAAAAGCAAATAATGCAAGCTTGTGGAAAAACAGAAGAATGAAAAAAAAAAAAAATTTGAACCTGTATTTTGATTGCATGCTTGGCATTTTCATGAATACAGCTGAAATTCAATCCCTTTTGGCAGGACAATCCCGATTATGGAATCCTGTCTTGCCATCCTGATTTTGTTCCTCAGGCAGCACAGCATTTGATGATAATGATGCGCTTGCACTGTTGCCAGGCTTACACGACCCCTTCAGTGAGCAGACCCACCTAATTTCAGGACCGACCAGCTTTTAGGGCAGACCCACCCATTATGGGCATCACCAGTGGCGCAAGATGAGTTACTCATAACACCCCTTAGGAATTCCTGTCACAAAGTTGAGACAAGGAAATAGGAACGAACTAATGGGAGCCCGCACACTTTCCAGAATAATAAAAAAATATAATTAAGATCATACATTTTACATGTATTCATATGTATGTAAATGACCTTTAATAAAAATTAAAAGGGGGGGCGGAGCCTAGCTATCAAGCAGAGCAGACGTGTGTGTCCTGAGCTCCTTCAAATTGGGCTGAATTTAGGACTTTAACCCCGGTAAACCAGCGATTTAAACACACCAACGAGAACCACAATACTCAAGACGATACAAGCGAGCAATCAGGACTGTTCCCTTGTTGCCACCAAGGGCTTGACCCTAAGACATCGCCCACATCGACAGAGGGTCCACTGCCATAGGCGTCGACACACCAACGGAACCCACCGCCGCTCCCCACCCGGGAGAGACCCGGCTCATCCGGGCTACCGGGTCCGTGGCAAGAAGATGTCGGCCTCCTCACCAGCCCGGGGCGGGACCAGCCCGGGGCGGGACGCCACCTCTGCACACTGCCTCACTGCAGCTATCACCGACTCGGACAAGGACTGGAGGTGGAGACAAGCAACACCTAGCCCAGCAACCCCTCCAGTTTACACCTACCTGTTCCCGATGACCGGGGTGGGGTGAATGCCCCAACCAAAGTTCAGGACTGATATACCGCTGCCAGTCATGACCACCAACCGCCGTCACGAACTCACAAGCCTCCTGACTCGCTCCTTTGATCGTCGCGTTACAGCCAGTGGACGACAGTGGTGCTCACTACTGTAATGCCAGCATAAGTGACTCGGTGCTTATCCAGCTGGTCAAATTATATCAACATGGACTGTTTTCACTGAGGTTACATGCATGCATAGTTTAATGTTCTTATATGCTTGGTTACTCATGCTGTCACTAACCTAACCCACGCTCTGACTAAACTTGACTATAACATAATCGTATATTCTTCAGCTGAAGCTACAATGTTAAATCTGCTTATATTATAAAATTGTGCCTGATAATTGAAGCCCCGCATGTTACGCGAGGACTGCTTCTGGGGCACCTTGAGACTGCATGTACCTATTCTTTGCACTGCAAAAAATAAAAATAAAAGAATTAATCTGCTTAAATACTGCTGTCCTTTCAATAAGTAAAAAACACCATAACCACTATAATGTACTGCAGTAACCGTGGTGAAATGGGTTAGATTTATCAGTGCCATGTTCTGAATAGTGGTGCAAATTTCTAAAAGTGGGGCAATCATCACAGGAACCAATGGAATCAGCTGGTACATTCTGCTGGCGATTGGTCCGCGTTTACAACTTTGCATTACTTTGCACACATCCTTAAAGATCCCTTTGGTAAAAACCCTTTTATTCACTTACATTGCCTGGGGTCTAACAGGTCCCGGCTCCCACTCCCTTAGCCAAAGGGCAGTGCAGGGTTTAGCTAATTGGCTGTGAGCAATTAGCTGGTGAACAATCGGATGTTATGTCAAAAAAGCTAATTTTGTACTTTATGGAATAAAGCATGTCTTGAGCATTTTTTCTTTTATTGGGGCCTCTGAATAGCACAGCAAGAAAGGAATTGCTGACACTCTCCTATGGAGCTTTCGGCTCTCATTAGTAGTAAAGATGGGGAGCAGTGCTCTAGGTAAAACGTCGAAAACAGTTTGACTAATGGAGAGAACGGCGGCACCATAACCACTACAGTGTGCTGTTGTCTTTATGAAGTTTGGAGGGTTCCTCTAACTGCGACATTGCAAAGTTATATTTTTTAAGTGAATCACTGGGGTGACATGCAAGTTACTAGACAGCCACATATGCATACACAGAGCAATGCAGAAGCAGCCACACATGCATATACAGAACAATGCAGAACAGCCACACGTGCATACACAGAGCAATGCCGAAGCCGTTACGCATGCATAGACAGAACAATGAAGAAGCAGCCACACATGCATACACAGAAGCAGCCACACATGCATACACAGAGCAATGCAGAAGCAGCCACACATGCATACACAGAGCAATGCAGAACAGCCACACGTGCATACACAGAGCAATGCCGAAGCCGTTACGCATGCATAGACAGAACAATGCAGAAGCAGCCACACATGCATACACAGAGTAATGCAGAAGCAGCCACACATGCATACACAGAGCAAAGCAGAACAGCCACACATGCATACACAGAGCAATGCAGAAGCAGCCACACATGCATACACAGAGAAATGCAGAAGAACACATGCGACCAGGGCCAGTGCAAGGAATTTTGCACAAACACATATTCTTCACAAATACACATTGTGATGTCCTATTAACCCACTTACCTTTCTTCATATTCGACTGCTTTTCATGTGTTCCTAGCAGCTTCCCTGCGCCTGGCAGCCTTCACTCCTTCACGCCCCTGCTATTCTCCTGCCCACTTGTCCTTATGTACAGGGCAAGTGGCAGGAGTGAAAAATTGAAGCGCCCTCGCGCTCATGCGGCAATGGGAATCCTTGTGGGGGCCTGGCTGAGCAGGCTGAAGTGGATGCCGCCTGTTCAGTGTTACACCGGACGCTAGTCAGCAGACATGTAAGTGGTCCCTAGCACCCAGTAGCATGGCCAGCGGCACGATTTGTAGAATTATTCAAACATAGAGGGGCGGCCAAATGAGCAGAGCAGTAAAGCTCCTGCCGGCGCCCCACTTTAAGCAGCGCCCTAGGCGGCCACCTAGTAGGCCTATAGGAAGCGCTGGCCCTGCATGCGGCAGGTGTTTTATGTGGACTGATGATATGCATTTGTGGGGAAATAACCCAGTGACATGCAAAAAAAATCCAGAATCAGGACTATACCCACAGTCTGGGACACCTACTACATATGTTGTATAGTGGCTTTGAATTATGGGGGTTGCAGTCCAACAGCAGCTTGTGGGTAATGGCGGTTGTAGTTTGATACTCTAATTTATAAGCATGGTGTCTTGCAGGGGCTCCATTATCTGAGTCTGATTATGTTATGATTAGAGTCTGATTACATCACTCTCACAGAAACCTCCAATGTCATGACCTAGAGCATTTCTCCACTAATCTCCAAACTCTCCTTTTACCTATCTCAAACCTCACCTGTCCTAGTTCGGCAACCTCCTTCTAAAATTCCACCCTCTCCCCTCAACTAGACATCATGGCACCTTGTACATTTAAACGCCGCAGGCGCCCCCAACAACAACCCTGGCACACCAAGCTCACTCGATACCTCTAAAAATGCTCCAGAACTGCTGAACGCTGTTGGAGAAAGTCTCACTGTGCATCTGACTTTCTCCACTATAAATTTATGCTGAGCTCATACAGCTTGGCTCTTTAATCTGCAAAAGTTAATTACTTCAAAATACCCTCATAGACACACTCTCCCGCGGACCCAAACGACTATTTCACTCCCTCTGCTGTTCTATGTTCATTCGCACCCGCTACATTGAAAGAGGTTTATGCTCTGCTCCGGTCCTCCCGCCCCACCACCTGCTCCCTACATCCAATTCCCTCGCATCTCATCCGTACTCTGTCTTCTTCTTTTTCTCCACCTCTCACTAAAATTCTCAATCTCTCTCTCTCTTCTGGTATATTTCCATCGCCCTTCAAACATGCAACTGTAACCCCAATTCTAAAGAAGCTCAATCTTGACCCTAACTCCCCATCTAACTATCGTCCTATCTCGCTACTGCCTTTTGTATCCAAGATCCTTGAACAAATTGTGTATGCGAGATTGACAGACTTCCACGAGTCCAACTCTCTGCTAGACCCGCTTCCGTCTGGTTTCCACGCTAAGCACCCTGTGGAAACGGCACTGACCAAAGTATACAATGATCTACTCGCTGCAAAATCTTGTGGTCACTACTCTATCCTAATTCTCCTTGACCTGTCTGCGGCTTTTGATACTGTTGATCATCAACAGCTTCTTCTCATCCTCCGCAATATCGGTCTACAAGATACTGCTCTCTCCTGGTGCTCCTCCTACCTCTCCCAGCGCTCTTTCAGTGTTTCTTTTTATGGCTCTGCTTCTTCTCCCCAACTCCTCTCTCAGTCCTTGGTCCCCTGCTGTTCTCCATCTATACTGCCTTCCTTGGTAAACTCAGCTCCTTTGGCTTCCAATATCATTTCTATGCAGATGACACGCAAATCTACCTGTCCTCTCCCCGTCCCTCTTGACTAGTGTATCTGACTGCCTCTCTGCTATTTATAACTGGATGGCTTCCCACTTCCTTAAACTAAACTTGACCAAAACTGAAATTCGGGTCTTTCCTCCCTCAAATGTTGTTACTCCCGTGTCTGTCTCCCTCCAAGTCAACGGTGCTACCATCAGCTCCACCACACAGGCTCCGACCTCTCCTTCAAGCCTCATGTTCAATCTATCGCCAAATCCTGTCATTTCCATGTCAAAAACATTGTGCGCATCCGACCCTACTTAACGCCACATTGCGACTAAGGTGTTGGTCCATTCCACTGTCCTTTCTCGCCTTGACTACTGTAATCCGCTTCTCAGTGGTCTTATGTGCTCCCAACTTGCGCCATTACAGTCTATAATGAATGCGGCGGCGAGGCTCATCTTCCTGTCCGCCCGCACCTCCCACGCCTCATCCTTCTGTGAGTCCTACATTGGCTTCTGAAGATATAGGGCTCAATTTAAAATTCTGGTTCTTGCTTTCAAATCTCTACATAATGCTGCTCCCATCTATCTATCCTCCCTTATACACAAGTATGTCCCGTCTAGGCCCTTATGATCTGCTGAAGACTTACGTCTATCTTCTGTCCGTACTCCCACCTCTGATGCTCGCCTTCAAGATTTCTCGAGGGCTGCACCGTTCCTGTGGAACTCGCTTCCCTCCTCCGTTAGATGCTCACCCAGTCTCCACTCCTTCAAAAAATCGTTAAAAACCCACTTCTTCATAAAAGCGTATCAATTAAACTGTTAATAGCTCCTGACTGATTCCTCTTCTGCAACTGTCACTAGTCTAATACTATCCTTACCTTTTTGTGTCATTTTACCCCACTCCCTCTAGCATGTAAGCTCATTGAGCAGGGCCCTCAACCCCTCTGTTCCTGTGTGTCCAACTTGTCTGGTTACAACTACATGTCTGTTCGTCCACCCATTGTAAAGCGCTGCGGAATTGGATGGCGCTCTATAAATATCATAATAATAATAATGTTGCACACTGGCTGTGTGTTATTAATGTAACTGCAATATGGTTTTTAACATGTGCTAATTGGTAGTATGAAAATAAAGCAATGTAGTGTGTGACCCACACTCAGTGCAGTTGCTGTTATGGAGTTATTATTGTTATATCTCATGCCAGTGATAGCACATTTATTGCCGTTATGACACAGTCACACTTATTACGGGATTAGCAGGTTACATTTCTCTTCCCTCTCCCTATTCCCGCGCCCTCCCGCCCTTTCCCTCCCCGCCCTCTCCGACCCCGCCCACAGCCGCCATCTCCCTGTCAATAACAAGCCCCTAGCCGCCATCACCCGGGTAACCGCTAGTCCCCGCCCACCAACCGCTGCCTCCCCTTCACAGACCACCTTACTGAGGCTGGCGCCGCTTTCTGTTGCCAAGGCGACGGCATGGCCGCGGCGTCCGCTGTTACCATGACAACCAAGGCAAGAGGCCGTGCGGCCAGGAACGGTGGTTCAGAAATTGCTAAGAAGCAAAGGGAGAGCATCCACAGCCCCTCTATACTGGGCACCAACTACCTCTCCATACTGGGCACCAACTACCTCTCCATACTGGGCACCAACTACCTCTCCCCTCTGGGTACCCAGCCCCCCTCTACACAGGACTCCCAACATCCCCTATACAGGGCACCCAGCACCCCTTCATACAGGGCACACACTTCCTCTCCAAACAAGGCACCCTGCACCCTCCATAAAGGGCACCCTGCACCCCTTCATATAGGACACCCAGCACCCTCCATATAGGACACCCAGCACCCCTTCATACAGGGCACCCAGCACCCCTTCATACAGGGCACCCAGCACCCCTTCATACAGGGCACCCAGCACCCCTTCATACAGGGCACCCAGCACCCCTTCATACAGGGCACACACTTCCTCTCCAAACAAGGCACCCTGCACCCTCCATAAAGGGCACCCTGCACCCTCCATATAGGACACTCTGCACCCTCCAAACAGGGCACCCATCACTCTCCAAACAGGGCACCCATCACTCTCCAAACAGGGCACCCAGCACCCTCCATATAGGAAACCCAGCACCCTCCATATAGGACCCCCTGCACCCTCCATATAGGACACCCTGCACCCTCCATATAGGACACCCTGCACCCTCCATATAGGACACCCTGCACCCTCCATATAGGAAACCCAGCACCCTCCATAGAGAGCATCCAGTATCGATCAGCACCATGAGCAGCGAACAAATGAAGCTGGAAACTGTGATTCAGGTGAGGGGTCTGAACCTTCATGTACATGGACTAGTTTAGTAGAATATTGATTTTGATGTAAATATTTACACCAGGTAGGGGAGGAATGTATTGGAAGAGGTATATGTGAAATAATGAGTAAAACCTGCAGCTGTGGCACTGGGTCTAGATACAGTCACATACAGAATGGTGTTATCTGTCATATATTGGGGTTTGTTCACTAACTACCAAATTGCAAAGTAGTAAAATGCAAACTTAAAATGTTAGCAAAAAGCGCAGATTTGGAATAAAATTTACAAATTCTGAACGGATTGGCAATTTCAGCCTAAAATGTGCTAGGGTTTTAGGCAGTAAATAATGGGATTTATTTACTAGAGTAAACTGTGACTTGTAGCGAAATGAAAACCATATTGCAAAATGAGCAAAAACTGAAAATTTGAAATTATCCAAACTTTTAAAAACTCCAATATTTTATCCAATATTTTGCAGTTTGGTTTTCAATTCACTACATTTTGCTATTTAGTAAATAAACCCCATTCAGTTGTGCAGAGATTACAAGAGACTTAATGGAGGAAAAACTCAGCCGAACCTTAAGAAAAACAATAAAAAAAATTGGCTAGGCTGTAAGTTGCTTGTCATTTCACCACAACTAATTTATGTATTAGTGGGGATTATTCAGTTTTTGTACAAAACTGACAAGGGATTCTCAAATGTTAGGCTGCAGTATCTGCAATGGAACATAAATTCCAAACCTGGCTATTTTCCAGTTTGTCTATTGCCTCAAATGCTTTTCCTCTGAATATTCCCAAACATAAACCTCTTTGTATGTTATTTTTGGTTTGCATATATCTCTATTTGGTTTAACTGATCCAAATATCTTTCACTCTAAATACATAAGTGTATTAAGGCAGTCATTTTCCATTTTGTTTTGAGTCTGGGGGCCACTTTAGAGTGGGGGTCACTTGCCCTTGTTCCGTGCTATGTTAAAATGACACCACAGTCACCTGAACAACTACAGCTTAATGTAGTTGTTCTGTTGAGTATTGTCCCTGCAGGCCTTTTGCTGTAAACACTGTCTTTTCAGAGAAAAGGCAGTGTTTACATCACAGCCTAGGGATACCTCCAGTGGCCACTCCTCAGATGGATACAAGAGGTGCTTCCTGGTGCAGTGCTGCACAGTGTGACTGACATTCAGTGTCCTCACCCTCTGTATGGAGACACTGAACTTTCCTCATAGAGATCCATTACTTCAGTGTATCTCTGAGATGCTGATTAGCCAGGGCTATGTTTTGCTTGTGCTGGCTCTCCCCCTGACCTGGCTCCTTGACAATTTGAGCCTCTGCATTGTGATTGACTGAAATAGATCACTGCTACTAAAGGAGGCAGATAAGGGGCAGAGCCAGCACCAGCAGACTGGAATAAAGGCAATATTTTACTATATTTGGGGGGCAACCTGGCATTGGACAAGGTCTCTCGACCAGTACTGGTCATGTTGTTGATATCAATGACAGCAGTGTAGATATGACAAAAAGGTCTTCTTATGGTACCCTTAGAACACTAATTTATAACTGACTTCTAAAATGAATCACTCAAATCTGTATTTCACATTGCTTGCACTTCACATACTGAAGGGGTCTATCCAATAAGGTACCCTTTTCCCCCCAACAGCTAGCCATGGTTGGATTCTTCAAGCCTTTTTATACTTATGGGCAGACCTCTGATACTGAGGGTTGGGGGCTGACACATTGTTTGACTATATAATTGAATACACCTGACTTATACTTTCATGGGGGAACCATAACCAAGGAAGGCTCTGATTAATAATGGGTGTTTGTGTATAGCTATATTTATTTAGCAAGTCGGTACCCCAAAAGTTTTACCTTAGTGTATAGACCCATCTGCAAGTGCTGCTATTTAGGTTAGACCTTTATGTGACCTTGCATACCCATTCATAGCTATCCTTCCAGATGTCCAGAGTTGTATTACCACAATTGAAGGGAGGATGCTTTTTAGGAAGGGAAGAATTCAGAAATGACAGACACCTAGCAACACTCCCATCAGATTCTTTGTTGTTGTTTAGGTGCCTGAAGTGTTCCTTTCATTTCAGACTGGGTTAGATTCTATGAAATTAAGTAAGCTTTCTGTCTTGTAAATAAATACAATTTAAGGTATGCTTTTCATATGTTATTCCCTAAACAGGAAATTGAGGAGGACTGGCACAGAAAATTGCAGATTTACATCTAAACAGCTGATCTAAAAATTAGAAGATTTGGCTACATCTTTCTATTTTGGCTATTTTGTCCAAACACTTGCAGCTCCTTGTAAATTCTTCACAGTTCTCAGTTTAGTTTTAAATCCAAATACATAAATAAATCCAAAACTATTATCATGCTTGGCAGTGTTTCTCAACCATTTCTGGAGACTTACCCCTGCATATCTAAAGAAGTACCACTGCCAGGAGAAAGTAATTTCTATTGATTACATTCCAAATGAAACGTGTAGACCAGGGGTAGGCAACCTTTTAGCAGCACTGTGCCGATATAGGATTGTGATGTTCCGTAGCGTGTCGATCCTATTTTTTTTTAAATTGAGGTGTGTATGCTGCCGTATTCTGCTTGTGTTATTTATACTGCAATTGCTTTGTATTGTTGTATTTGTGCGTATATGAGCTATTATATTGTATATGTTCATTAGTAGTTTAGGGTATTGTGTATGATACATATGAATGTGGGCTGTGTATGGGGCTGCTTGTGGAATTGTGTGTGGATGGATATGTCACATTGTGTATTTGGTAGTGTGTGGGGGCTGTTTGGGGTATTGCATGTGAGAGGCTGCATGTGGGATTGTGTGCATGCATGTAGATTGTTAGTGGTGTTGCGTTTGTGGGGATTGTGTGTATGTTTGTGTGTGCGCTGTATGAGGGGAGGCTTATTCTGCAGGTCTGTGTATATCTAGCAGTGTGGGTGGCTTCCCTGGCTTCCAGTGGGGACCAGGCTGACCAGGTACAGGTCTAGGACAGGAGCTGCAAGCTGCTCTACTACAGTGTGGATTCCCATTCACAAGTGCAGGGAGGAACTGATCTGAGATCACTTCCCATATGTTCTGCAATGCATAAATTGAGTATTGTCTTTCACTACCTGTTCGTATTAGCAGATATCTGCAGTTTCACTGAGACTCCTGATAGGCCAGAGCCTGTTTGACTCTAGCAGCCTTGAGTGCCGTGGAAAGACACCTCGAGTGCCGTGCATGGCACTAGTGCCGTAGGTTGCCTACCCCTGGTGTAGACAGTGATATTTAATACATACTTAATAGTTACAAACAGAGGACACTGAAACACAGATAACACAGAGGGCGCCTTTACATATTTATTTACAGAGGACACTGGCAAACACACTGATATACATACTTACTGACACACAAATATACTGGCAGACACACACACTGACATGCTCACTGATTTGACACACACTGGCCGACACACGCATATTCACTTACAGACACATGCATGCACATTCTGCATAGCACTCCCTCACTGCCTTCCTTCATTCTTCCCTTCGGACACAGCAATTTTGCACAGTGCACAGGCAGCTTCTGGAATGCCCACTGCTTGTGGTGCACGTAACCCCTGGGGTAATTGCGTCACAGATTGAGAAACTGTGATCCATTGCAATCTAATAAAAAATTACTAGTATATATATTAGTCATACTACTTTTTTAATGCAGACCTAGGTATACCTTGAATCCTGTGACACACAAGATCCATGAAAAAAAGTTACATTTTGAAACGGATCTTTCAACACATCATGTTCACGTTACAAGTTCTTGCCTCCTGCGCTGTTAATTGAACTTTAACCACACACAGAAGGCCGTGACACACTCTAGCAGGAGATAATACAACCTAAATGGAGAACACTACGGAATAAAGGATGTGTAAAAATTAAATCTCTTTTTCAAGAAGTGTGTAGAAAGGCTTTGAGAGTCACAGCCAAGGGAGGTAAACATGACTTAATTCTCTGGCACAGAATTGGGCAGTTGCACTGCATAGGCATGATCTGTACATCAAAACCACTTAATTACGCTAAAGTTGTTTTGGTGCTTAAAGTGACCCTTTATGTACTCTGCTGTAATTTCATGGAAAATCATGACTTGAACAACTGTATAAGTGAATAGAAGCAATGCCAAGTCTTTTATTAGCTTACCATTCTGCTTGACTCATTATTTATCACAAATTAAACTAGACGTAGCTACA